CATGTGATGAAAGCTCCTTGATAGCAGCAACCAAAACATCTAAATTCAATAACCTTTGCTACGATCAAGATTTGAAGGTCGACGTCATGAACCATATGCCCCCCTCCCCCTCCACCACACATATTGCAGCTGAAATGGTGGGAAATTAAAACGGTCCAGTTCCCGACATCGTGGCTGCTCATAATAAAAATAGCCAGTCTCCCACCAGAGAGTTTCCCTGTTGTAACATTCTTCCCCATTCACGAGTCCCCGCCATGCCGACCCACCTATTACCGTGTTTACACACAACAATTGTTTCAAAACAGGAGCCGCTTCGAGACGTTATTAGCGTTTTTACAGCCGGGAACAATGCAACAACAACTTCGCAAGTGCCCGACAACGAGGAGAAAATAAACAAATCTAACTTGAACAGTTGCTGTAAATCTTTCTCGACTATTTTTGAAGCGGGTAAAAAATTCTCATGAACTCTATATGCCCAAAGTTTTAGACAAGCCAGTTTGCCGCGTTGTAATAAATGACAAAATGACAAAATGTCGTATACCGTTTGCTCCAATTCTGTAGGTAAATCTTAGGATGGATTTAGGAAAATCCTGTCTTTATCGGCTTTGCCGGGATCGGTAGTCCTTCCTTGGGAAAAACAAATAAGAGTTTTCCTCGGCAGAATTCACACCGTGAAAGCTCCGGACCCCAGCCGGGGAGAGGAGACACCTCGCCCGGTATCTGATCTTCTATCGGGGGTGGAGGGGATCAGCCTCGCAAAGAACGGGCTCTACTCTGGGGGAGAAGATATTGTTACGGGCGTGTACGTCTTCAGGGTTCACGGAAATCTTATCAGTATTTTGGAAAATTCTTACTGGTAAATAGTTTCACCCATTTACTTGCCCTCAAAGTCGATCAAAGGCTTTCAAACCACGGATATTACTAATAGGTCCTTTTTTTCGATGCATCAATACGTTCAACCGAGTCTGCACCTAGAACCAAGGAGAACCAATCACCTTGATATCGATAGAACATACGCAAAAACACGAACAAAAGACAAATATGCTTGAACTGGAAAAGGAACATAGGGGTCTATTTGTACATGTAGTCACGTAACTCTCGAAATGTCTTCAAAGTTCTGAAGAAAAAAGTCGCACATGACGACGAATCGATCCGCCAAGACGTCATAATTGACGTGCCTACAGCGGTAAGTCATATCGGAGGGCCGCTACATTTCCCACGGCGCTGTACAGGGTCTGACACCGCCTCGATAATCGTCATAATCACGCAGACGGGAATACTGCAGTCAGACCATCTTATCTGATGCTGGGGAGGGGTAATCTCCAAGCAGATATCTATTGGAGTGAAAATCGTAACGTTATCTGCCTGTCCGACGCAGTCTAGCTATAGCTAAAAACAATCGTTCAAATCCACCATCTGCTTGGAGATTATGATATACCGTCTATTGTCTTCAAAGCGGAAGTCAAACCCATAATAACAAACGCAGGACTAGTACTAGTAGTATTATATCAGACAGCATTTCTTTAGCTTTATTTAATTTCTTTGATCCTGTTCATGTATCCCTCAGGTATGATTCTGCAAATGATAATTTTAAAAATCATTATATAGAGGGCATGGCCTTGTATTTCCCCCTATACTTTCAGTGAGAAAAAGGCTTTTCAAGATTTATTCACGATATCAAATCCGAACGTACTAGCCATCGACTAAGAGTACTAGTACTCTGAATACACATGATTCTTCTGGTAATGTCTAACTGACATATGCTATGATTACTTCATTCAGGAATCATCACACCACGTGTGTGTGTGTAGTTAGACATACCCAGACGCACGCGTCACTCATAGCCCCTAATGAGAGACATAAAAGTGTGACCCAAACGTAACCCAGTCTCTTCACAAATATTAGATCTTCTCCAAAACTCACCAAGCTGACCCCTCGGTCAGTGGCGTGGGCCACACCTTTGAAGGACAGGAAACCACAGCCATTTCCGTCATGATATATAACGTTAATGGTCCACGCACGACTTGACTGTATATATACATAATTTGCTAAGTTCAAGAGTGTAATAGAAGGCAATGTCACAAGAAAGGAATCTTATGCAGTGCGGAGCATCGTCTCTAGGCGGGGCTGCTTCACACATGACACATGTCGGATCATGTAACGTTATATACAACTCTCCAATATGACCCTACAGGGAATATTGAAATAGTGGCTACCTATAAACGTTATGAATGCTTAAAAGCCATTTGTACAAATCTGTTGCTGAGACATTCAACGGCTCTCAAGAAATCCTACTAATGGAAAACGGACCCATCACAAGATTATACAGTAGGTAAAATTTTGCAGAGAAAATGTAAATGTTTACGTTGCGTCAATCGTTTGGCATTGGAGTTCTGGTAGAAAAGGGTAGATGTCGCTCGTGTACAGCAAATTTAAAAAGGAGGTCAAAGGTGACATCCGCAAGGAAGGCGGAGCCAGCGAAGGTTCTGTCATTCTGTCAACAAAAATAGTGAGAATTCTGACTGCATCAACAATATTATAATTGAAAGATGTATATTTGAAAAAAGGTAAGTTTGTTCTGCAAATCCTTGAAGCCATAGTAAACAAGATGCATGCTACAAGAAGCCACGTTTTCGATGTGAATATTGTACATATTAGTAGGGGAGGGATTCTGTTCAGATGAAATTTTTGATACGATTTTATATCATGATGCTACTAGTAACTTATTACTTGATAACATCATTTTCCATAGCTTTAGGGTAACCATGTTACATATTGGTACCAAAAACATTCATTTAATTGAGAATCTAATTTTTTTAGACTATGCCTTAAAGGGGCACTATGTAATATTTTTGCACCAAATATGGAAGTACAGTATTTTAGTAAAAGTATTCATGTGATTGTATTTTTACTTCCGCTTTTCAACATAAATTGTATTTGTGCAATTGTCTCACATTTCTGGTTTTTGCTAAAAACAGCTCACACAGTGGCACACTCAGTTTGTGGTGCCACCACAAACTACCAGAATGTAAACAAACATGTTTAAAAGCTGTGTTTCAAGCACACGTAAGGTGTCAAATTGGCATGGGGTTTATTCAACTTACTAATAGTTTGAAAAGAAATGACCAGAAAATTTACTTTTTGTATTGTCCTAATGTTACATAATGTGAAGACAGTGTGCTCATGAACATATAGCAGCATCTTATATGTGTTGATATTCCTTTCAGAAAAGTGAATCACTGGTAGACCCGGAAGAAATTGTTACGTTGCCTAAAGATTGTCCGAAAAGACTTTGCAATTCTACTGCAAATTGCAGAATGGATAGAGAGTGCCAGTTGCAAAGACAGGATGTTAAGATGGAACTTCCCATTACCAAGCCTGTTGAAAGTCTGTTCCTAGACCTGGAACATTCTGCTGCGCAGGTTGGTGGCAGGGTTTTCTACTGTAAGTTATGCTCCTTGGAGAGCACGCGAGCTCGAACTCACACCCTCTTATCACTTGAAGAAGGAGTGAAACATCTTCAGAACCACTGGAGACCTCCGAAACAAAAGCGAGGGCCTCCGATACGCAAGAACAAAGTCCCACCAGAGCTGTACTATAGAAAACAGGCTGTGAATGTAGAGGAGGATATAACGTTGTTAGCGAAGCTTTATCTCGGATTCAAGGTGCAGGAGCGAAAGCCGTACAGGTGTGGTCTCTGCGGGGAGGGTTTTGCTACCACGAGCGACAGGTACCACCACGTGGGAGAGGAGCACGTGGAAGCCACCGCGCCGCTCTTGTGCTGCGGCGCCTCATTCCAGAACCGCGAGAAGTACATCCAACACATGTTCTTCAAACACTGCGAACTCAGGAGGCCAGCCGAGAAAGAAAGCTTCTTTGTCTGTGACCTGTGCTTTGTCGCTTTCTATAACAGGACGGACTTAGAGTGGCACTTTTATCGGCATAATCAGCACGTGGCTAATCCGATAGGGGAGGAGGATGACGGACATTTCTCTTCGCGGTCACAGTTCTTCCGCTGTTCTCTCTGCTCCGACCAGTGCGTCTTGTCAAGACGAAAGCCTCCAGTACTGTACACGCTGTCGGAGTCGTTCAACCATCTCGCTTGGCACTGGCTGTACCAGCTCCCGCCTGAAATACGACAGAATCCCGTTCTCGTGTTCGAAGATGACGCGGACGTCATCCACAGACTGTACATGGAGGCAGTGGGGATTCGCGAGTGGCGCTGCGGTCTGTGCCCGCTACAGCTCAACAAGGAACACGTGCTAAACTACCACTCGGAGGCACGGAGGGCGTTCAGATGTGAAGGGGTGACCTGTAAGAACACGTTACAGTTTGCGAAGCTGGAAGACTTTGTCGGACACATCTTCATGCGGCACACGCGGGTACTGAAGCTAGAGGAGAGGTTTCTTTGCTTAATCTGTGACGGGAAGTTTGAGAACAGGAACCAGATGAAGTGGCACTGTTACATCCACAATGTTGCAAGACAGGTGGCCTCATAGTTTTGTAGAATAATGTAATAAGGTGCATACAAATTCAGGGCTCAAATTCTGCACCTTAGTACATGTAAATGTAACACTGGGGCTGCGCAAGTACCGGTATTTCTGATGTCTACCTGAACCCCATCTGCAAGTGGCCATGGGTTTACATATACATTTTGTACATGTACACTGTAGGTGTATGTGGATTTTTATTGGCTGCATTGATTGCTGCCACCTATTAAGTATAAAAGAAATAGTGAGCAACGGTTTCTGATTCTCTGAATAGCTTTTAGTATGATGCATGTATTGAAATTATGAAGGTAAAATTTGTCTGGTGCAGGTAATTTTCAATGTTACCTGCATCAGTGCAGCCGTACAGAAAAAAAAAAAGTATTTCAAGTCCAGAAATCAATAATGTACTTATTTATCCATGTGTATACAACTAACGTTACTAGTATACATAATGCACTCTGTATAGATAGTTTAGGTTACGTCTATGAAATACCAATATTTATCTCTTTATTACACGCAGGTATTTATTTATCACGTATTATGGTTAATACTGTTAGTACTTCTGGAGAGGGTTATCTAAAATAAACTTAGGTAATTACATGTATAAGATTTAAAATTGTAGAGGCAATTGGTAGATAGCTTTTAATGATGTCAAGAATTTGTTAAGATTGAAGATACTAACAGAATCCTTACTACCCTTTTCATAATGATAAAAGTTCTATATGTAACCTTGTAAAATGATAACACCAGTATCAATGACACTAACCTCTGCATGTACGTGTACGATTAACATTTACGGTAGATCAGGACAAAAAAGTATTTTAAAAAAGTGTAAATCAGTGATAGAAACTACAAGAGAGCAACAGCAAAATCAATCATTCTTTCCAAGACATCACATTTTATTGAAAAAGGTTGTTCTTTCTTGCCATTTCAGTGAAAGTAAAGTTGAAGGAACACCACAGTGTGATTTAAGACAATTCCTAGGTGAAAGTATTACTACGATATGAAACAGAAGTCTGAAATACCACGAAAGTATTATCATTCTTAGAGATAATTTTTATGAAGATACATTGTATACATGTATTGAGTTATTTCTGTGCTGAAGTCACTTAAGTGTAAATGGACAATTCCTGTGCAAAAAAGCTTATTTCAGTTTTATTTGAAGAAAACATATATAGCATAACTCACAGCATTAGTATTTAACCTAACATGTATTTTGTCCCCTTTTCTGCTATCAAGTCTTGAGCTGTACAGGTTGCACAGGAATTGTCTATGTAAAAGCAAGAAGGAAGGGGGGGGGGGGCAGGCATGTCTTACTTGTGTCACAATGAAATCAAATTATCAATAATTACACAGCTTGTCTTGAAACATCTTCAGATAAATTCATTACATCATCTGTTGGGTTCAACTCAGGCTAGCCAACCATCCCAGAACGGACGTATTTAAAGAGATCTTCCTAGAAATCATCACAGAATGTAATCTACAGTATTATCATCAAATAAAGTAGGAGCCTCTTACTAGCTTTACTAGCAGTTGGACTTAGATATACATTGCTAAGGTGTGCCTGTGAAGCTGGAGTCCTAATACGCATTGGCAGAACGTACTGCACCTGAACAAAACCCAGATTTTTCACGTTTTTCTTAGAATGTTTGGTCAATGTTGCAGACGATATTCTTTCCGACACAACCTTCGAAAACTATAGATAAGTCATTCTCAAATGCGGGAATACTTGAATGAGACATACTGCTGAAGGTCTATGCACAATACATTACGGGTTTCATGCAGGCGCAGTATGTTCTGCCTACGGTCTGAATGCTACACCAAAGGGCCTTGACACCAGTTGACCAATCAGATTGAGATCCTGCCATCATGTGACCTGTTGTTCATTGGTTGGCCTTCCCCTGCTGTAGTCTGTTGACGAGCATGTCTCGCTCCACGATCAGGTCTGCGTAGTGCTTCTGCAGCTCGTGTTCACGGTCGGTCTGTCGTTTCACGTCTTCCTTCAACGACTACGGGAACACACGCAATGAGAGGCGTTAGTTAGAGATCAATCGGACCTCAATTCTGTTTATTCTTCACAAATGAACAAAATGTGTAATAAAAAAAAAGCATACAGTAACAAAGCTACAATATACAAATACGAAAATAAAATCTACCTAATGGTCTTGCTATTATAAGAGATCAAAATAACTATGTAACAAAAAAGACACACACTGTAAATATTAGGGAATGTTGGATTCAAAAACAAGGACAAAGCATTGACTAATTACTAGTATGTGTCCCAAGTAATTCGTATCCAAACCCGAAGAAGACTAAACTGCATTTGCAGATTCCAAGGCTCTTCAGTGCGTTTTTTTCTTTAAATTTTCTGTGTCGAATACATTTTTAAGTAAACGTGCAGAAAAAGCATGCATTTTTTCTAACATGAAAGGTTGTACAAGAGAGTACCTCGATTCTCCTGGGAATGGCCACATCTTCATTCTGTTTGAGTTTTTCAAACGTCTTCAGCTCGACGTACGTCTGCTCGGTCTGGTCGTGCATCTCCTGTAGCTGTTTGTACAGTCCTGTAGCACGGGACTGCAGGGGACAACACACAAACAATAAACAAACATAAACACACATAGTACTGAAACATCACATTTCTGTTTGGGAGTGAGAGATGGCAGACTTCAATTCTTTTCCCATAATTCTTTGTGAGAATTTGGACACTTTAGGCCATAATTGTAGTTTCGTGGAAATAAAGTACATTCCAACATTATTTTTTTTTTTATTTATTTATTTGGCTTACAAAGAAGCCAGGGTGTCCCAACTAGTCAGAGACTATTATTAAGGGACACCCTGGGGAGTAGGAAGAAACGTTATACATACATAAAATACATATTACAATCCAAATACAATAAGAATAATATGTGCTTACATTTATGAAATACATATTGTTTGAGTGGTAGAGTCCAAGTATTTACAAAGTTGCCGACTCGGAGATAATATGTACAACTGTTAAGTCGGGAGGTGACACAAATGTGATGTGTAGTTAAGTAGAATATGGATCCCCGAAGGATTTCCATGCTTTAGCTTTAAAAGAAAACAGTGTTGGGGCCGATTGAATGTCAACTGAGAGGGAGTCCATAAGAGGGTGGCTCTGTGGAGGAAGGCATTCTGTGTTCTGGAGCTTTTGGGGATTTGTACACAAAGATTATTTCCATTTCTGAGGGGGTATCTGGAGTGTATGGCGGATGTCCTGGTAACAGGTAATAAACTAGCTAGGTGGGGCGGGCAGTGACCATTCTTCAATTTGTACAGAGTGGTTACTGCGTGAACCTTACGACGGTAAGTAAGTGTAGGGAGGGCAAACTGAGAATAGAGAGATTTGTGAGAGGGATAAGGAATCCCGTGGTGTCCACTTATCACTCTGGCTGACCGGTATTGGACCGATTCGATGGTCTTTTGATCACGCATGGTGAGACCACCCCAGACGATGTCAGCGTATTCTAGAACTGGTCTGACAATGATTTTGTACAGTTGTAGTAGTATGGTCTTGGGCACCTTTTTCCGAAGGGCGCAGAGCATTCCAGCAGTACGTCTTGCCTTGTTTGTCATGGCTTCGACGTGTGCAAACCAGGTGAGTTTACTGGTTCGGGTCACACCCAGGTGTTTGTGACTGTGGACAATCTGTAAGGTGGTACCGGCTAAGATGACCGGGGGGATCCTTTGTGGGAGGGGGCGGGTAGTGAGAAACATAACTTTACATTTGTCCCTATTAGCCTCTAGTTTCCAGTGTTGTAGCCACTCGGAAACTGTAGCCAGATCTGTGTT